GGCACAGTGGTGCCTTTAACGACTGGTTCCGACTTACTAGTCGCGCGTCTGTTTTTGAGCTCGGATTCGGGACCTGGAATGGGAGAGCTCTCTTTCATCATGATCAGAGATTGCGGTCGCTGAAGACCACCTACCTCGGCGCAATGCTCAAGGGCTTTCGAGTGATTGCGCTCCAGGAGACGCATGGCAGTGAGTTCGACGTAGCCGACTTCTTACACTTCTCAGCCTCGGGGTATGAGGCACACCACTCTTTCTTCTCCGAGCTGAACAAAGGCGGCGTGGTCACCCTGCTGCCTAGGATCTCTTCTCTCCCTGGGGATGGTAAGTACGTCGATTCCACCGTGCTTGTGCAGGGGCGTGCCCTGCACACGAAGATTTGCCTCGGCTCGGTCAACGGCTCCGTCAACGGCTCCCTCCACTTCATCTCGCACTTCAACATCCACAATTTCGGGCTTACCCCCGCCCAGACCAGCCGCATCCTGAGCGTCATCCGCCACGAGCTCGAGATCGCGAGCCGCGACACGGAACACTACCTGGTCGTGGTCACGGGCGACTTCAACATTCCGCGTGACGCCCCGCTGCCTGCGCACCCCCTTCCTGGTGGGCTGGCTGAAGACCCTGCCGCGCCCGAGTTCCGCCGGCTGCTCCGCTCACCTTGGCAGCAGATTTTCAATGCGATGGTCGAGCTCGACCCGCAAGACAATACGCACTACAATGGCTCTCGCCAACACACATCCGCCATCGACCGCATCTTCATATCCTGGCCTGGCTGGATCCTTACTCTGCTACATCTGACCTCGGACGTTCGGGACCTTCCTGAATCACTAGAACAACGGGGCCTCTCAGATCACGCTCCCATCCTGGCCTCGCTGCGTGCTCGACTTCCCCCTTCCCTGGACGACAGGCCGATTCCCAGATACCTGTTTGAACACCCGCAGTTCCAGAAGTATGTGGATGCCACCTGGCCCGCTATTGATATCTCGGAGCTCTCACCCCCACTGGCCCTGGAAATGTACAAAACCGTCCTGAAGGAGGGGGCCAGGTACGCCAGGGACGCGCTCTTCCAGGACGAACCCTCGAACCCCACTTCGAAGTTGCTGGTTATGCGCTCCTCATCCAGAGCTGTATGGCGCCAAGATCGTTGGTTAGCTGAACGTCTCCTTCGCTATCCATTTGCTCGAGAAATCCTGGAGGTCTCTGAGGAGGGACGTGTGCGTTTCGTGGACCCTGCACGCTTTTCTACTCTGCTGGACGAGCTCCAATTTGCAGAAGCCGAGTCCGCCCGGTCCTCTCTCCGTCGCGAGCTTGCTGCTGCAGACGCCCAGCAGGCTCCCGCTCACGCCCGTGCGAAGCTCAGGAAGCGGCTTCGGAGGCTCATACAGCGAGCCAAGATATGGGCGCCATTCGGACGGCGCACGGAGCTTACTGGAATTCGATCTCAAAATGGCCCGATTGTCTCGTCATCCGAGGAAATGCACCACGAGATTGCCACGCACTGGGGCCCCGTCTTCCAACACAAAAATATCGACGAGGCTGCCGCCGACATGTATTTGAATAGATTCTGCCCCAAGTTCGATTTCGCTAACATCGCCCCGCCCACGAAGCCCCAGATGGAGTCTTACATACAGAGGCTGTCTCACTCAGCCCCTGGCCCCGACGGTCTCCCATACGCCGCGTACCAACGATCCTCTTTCTCCTCATCGGTCCTACTGTCGGTCATGTGGTGGATTCTGGGTGGAAATGCTATGATGGTAGGTTTCAACGACATGATAGGCGTCTTCATCCCCAAAGGCTCCGAGACCGAGGACACTCTCAGAGGCTGCGTGCGGGCCCCCAGCAACTTGCGCCCCCTTGGCCTCAAAAACACGGACGTCAAAATCATCACGGGGACGATCGTACGCCGGCTATCTCGTGCTCTCCCAGAGGTGGTGTGCAAAATTCAGAGGGGGTTCGTGCCGTCCAGGAACTTTGGGAACAACATTGTGGAGCTCGATGGGGCCTCGAGGGAATACTCCCAGCAGGACGACGTCTCCGTAGCCATGTCTCTGCTCGTCAGTTTCGATTTTCAGCAGGCCTTCCCAAGTGTGGCCCATCAATGGCTCTTCTTGGTTCTCCGTCGCGCGGGCTTGCCCGAGGCGCTATGTTGGTTCTTCGCCGAGCTGTATCGCTGCGTCCAATGCTGGTCGGCCAATGCGTGTTCCTCGTCTATCAACAACTCTGTCTATGGAAACGCTGCGCGGCTCTACTACATCCAGAGCGGCATAGTGCAAGGTTGCCCTGGCTCGGGCTTCTTGTTCGCAGTGGCCGCGGACCCGTTCATGCTTGATTTCGACTGGAGTATCAATCGTCGTGCCCTCGGGCTGGTTCGTGCTTGCGCCGACGACGTCGGTGCTGCCATCAGGACCATCAGGGTGCTCAAGATCTTTGTCCGTATCTTTCGGGTTGCCGCTCGTGTGGCTGCCCTTGTGCTCAAGCCGACAAAGTGCAAGATTGTTCCGTTATGCGGCTCATTCTCAGATGTGACTCACGACCGATACGCACAATGGATCGCCGACCATATCCCGACATGGTCCTCTTTCAAGATTGTTCCAGAACTTCTATATCTTGGTCTTTATCTCGGACCCGCAGTGCATCTTCATAGTTGGCGCGCACCAATCCAGAAATGGAGAGACCGTGGCTTGATCCTTGCACAGCAACAAGGGCCACATCGTGTGACGGCTCAGCTCTACTCGACAAGGGTCACCAGTGTCCTGACGTACGTCGCCCAGTTCATGCCGCTCCCAGCGGAGATTCTCTCAGGTGAGGCCGCGCTTCTTGCCCGCCTGTGGCGCTCGCCGCACTGTGTGATCTCTCGCGCTGGTTTTTTCAACCTCTGGAGGTGGGGAGGGCCGAAGTTCCCAAGCGCTCTCATACTGTCATCGGCCACTCTCCTGAGATCCAGTGCCACCACACTCCAGAGCTGGCCAACCGTCCTTGCCTCTCTCCGTGAAACCGCGGACCGATGTCTGCCTCTCCCCACCCGTGCTGCTGGCTCTCTGTCTCCCTCGTTCTGGTGCCAGCCATCATTCGCGGAATTCCTGTCTTCCGCCTCAGCTTGCTTTCCTGCCAACATTGGGCAAGATCTAGTCACCTCCTCCCACCCCGCTCGTGAGCTCCTCGCTGCTGCTGCCACCTCTGCCGTCACCTCGCTCCCTCCTCCTCCCCCGAATCGCCGTGCGAAGATCCAGGGAAAGCTCGCCCTGACACTCCTAGAAGTTCGGTTTCCCGACCCATTGGTCGGTATTTTCTGCAAGCGATTAAATGCCTGGCTCCCGATATCCCTGGAGACCCTCGCCGGTTGGCCCTGGTCCGAAACCCAGCACTGTCTCTTGAAGCTTCCACCAGTTCAGTCGAATGCGATTTTGAAACTCCTCGTCAACGGATGGACGACGGAGGCTCGCTTTCAGAAGCCTGCCCTCTGTGTTCTAGGCTGTGTGCCATGTGGAATATCATCCAGCTCTGACAGTTTGCCACACTATTGGTCTTGCCCTCGGTTCCTGGCCATTTTAGCGCTGGTCCTCCAGAAGAGAGTGCTCCCAGGATGCCCCATCGAGCGACTTGGTCTCTCCTCCCCCTCGGCCGAGAGCCTCCTGCTGCCTGCCGCTGCTACCCTCCTCTTCAACACCATCAACGCTCACAGGGCCGAAATTGACCATCTTCCTGAATGCCGTGCCCGCGCTCTTGCCTCCTCTGTGAGGTACCAGCTGTGGCGGTAGGCGCCCCGCAAGTGTGATGGAGCTGACCCAGTCATCCCCCAGGTACGTCCGAGGAGGAGGAGGAGGAGGAGGGAGGAGGAGGGGGAAGGGGAGGGGGGAGGGAGAGTGAGGAAGGGGAGGAGGAGGAGAGGAGATAGGGGGGGGGGGGGGAGAGGGAATAGAAAAGAGATGAGGAGGTTGGGGAGGGCGATTGTGGAGGTTCAGGGTGGGAGGTTCAGGTGGAGGCGGAGTGGGGCAGGGCAATGGATGCTTTAGTGTGGGGTGCTTAGTACGTGGAGGAGGAAGCGGATGACTGAGGATGATCGAGGATGAGGATTCGAGGATGCAGACGTAGGAGGAATGATGAACAGTAGGGAGGAGGAGGATGAGGAATAAGGAGTATTAAGGATGATTTGGGCGGGTGGTGAGGAGGTATGAGATGACGTCGAGGTGCTTCTGTAGGAAGGATTATGAGGATTGGAGGCCTGTATGGGTGGGAGGATGACGTAGGTAGGAGGAGTAGTCGTGCTGAGGAGTCGTAGGAGGATGCGGTGCAGTCGGAGTATGGGGAGGGAGGAGGAGGAGGAGGAGGAGGAGGAGGGAGGAGGTGGACGAGGAGGCGGCGCAGGATGAACTGGGTGTGGGAATAGAGGCTACAGGCAGGGTGAGGGTGCAAAGTCCAGCGCGTTCCAACTTGTCGGTTGTCTCAGCAGACACGTTGTATGGCGTGCTTCCTAGATTTGGTTTAACCGCAGCTGTGCATGCGCGATTGTGGTTATCAGCCCGACAGAAATTCGCGTGCGCGCGAAAAGGGGCATGATGTATGAAGGAGAGGAGTGAAGTGGAGAGGAGCAGGGTGGAGGAGGGGGAGGAGGAGGATAAGGAGGATGCGGAGGAGGACAGGGGGATGGAGGAGGAGGAGGAGGAGGAGGAGGAGGAGGAGGAGGAGGAGGAGGAGAGGAGGAGAGTGATAAGGAGGAGGAGGAGGAGGAGGGGGAGGAGAAGGAGGAGGAAGACGGGGAGGAGGATAATGACACGGAATAGAAGGATGATGATGCGGAGGAGGCGGAGAGGGAGGATTCTCCCTGGCTCTCACCTTGTAGTCCTTCGCGTCGTCGCGTAGGTTACGGGCAGGACGCAGTGGCTCGTCGGGTCAGGCGGGCGCAGCAGCTCGTCGCCCCGAACGACGGACGCACGGGGAAGGGAGGGCGTGGAAAGCACGCGGTAAGCGCGCGACACTGGACGCCCGCCGCGTACCGTCGGGAGGCGTCCAGCCACAAGCCCTACGTCGACTTCCTCTGGAGGTCCGCCCGCGCTGGCTGCCTGTGGGAGAGCGTGGAAGGACCGGTGAACCTCAGCTGACCACCTCACCGATCCTGGCTAGGCCCATCTTGAGCCCATCGTCGGTGTAGACGGCCTCCTGGCTTGGCCTAGGCAGGAATGGTGGTGTGGTCAGCCGGCGTTCCCCGAGGGGAGGAGAAGGAGGAAATGCAGGAGGTGCAGCAGTGGTAGCTTAATGAATGAGGAGAGGGGGACAAGAGGTCGAGTAGTACGACGAGACATGGATAAGAAGGAGGAGGAGGGGGAGGAGGAGGAGGAGGAGGAGGAGGAGGAGGAGGAGGAGGAGAAGAGGGAAGACTAGCAGGATGTCGGGGAGGCTTCGGCGGGGTCGTGTATTCTCAGTGCCCTGCATTTGATTCCTTGCGATGTACCAGCCTCAATACTGCCATTGCCCGTATTAGATTTTCAGCCCAATCGTCGCCCCATCTCTTGGGAAGATCATGAGATCCGCTGCCTCATCTTTCCTCCCTTCTCTCGCACCCCTCTTTCCTGACATCGGCCTTGGTCTGAATGTCCTGAAGACGAATCGGAGCTTTTCCACATTCTTTATGCTTGTGCTTGTGTGTCGTGTTGTCTGATGTTTATATCACCCCTCCTTTTTTCCTTCTCCCTCTCTTTTTTTATTATTTGTATTATCCTTCCATGGCGAGGGTCGACCTCAGCCACCACCCCATCTTCTGGGAGGATCACGAGGTCCGCTGGTTGACGGCGAGTGACCAGGCGATCGCGCGAATCATCGCCATACGTGAGGCGGCGGCTGGGGCAGGGAATTAGCTCTCGCAGCCAGAGCGCCGAGATGAGGATCTCATTTGTATCAGATAGGAGGCTTCTTATTCCAAAGTCGCTGCCCTTCTCTCTCTCTCTCTCTCTATTTCTCTCTCTCTCTCTCTCTCGTGGGAGGAGGAGGAGGAGGAAGAGGAGACGGATGAGACAGAGGATGACATTGAGATGTCAGAGGGGCATCTATGAAGTGTGATCGTGTGCATGTATATATATATGGTTATATATATACATATATATAGGTGTATCTATTCGGACCTACATTCGAACCGCGCGCGCGGCTCTAGCGCAGACCAAGCAGCACCGCACGAATGCATGCGCAAAAACAAGGCATTGCAGCTTTAGCATTACTTGGGCCCTCTTATGTCGTAGTGAACTTTTAGAAAGCGTCCTGTAGACGTCATAAGGGACCACTGGGGGCTGTCGAGGGCCATCTGGGGGCCATGTTGGGTCAGTGTGGGCCCCCTATTTTTGGCTCCCTTAGCTTCTCCATTTTTTTCAAATCGTACGGAACCGACGAAGGAGCACTGCTACAACGCGCCGACACATAAATTAAGGAATCCATCGTCGTGGTTGAACGGCAGTGGCGTGTTAGAGTGTTTGTGGATTGCATGGCTGGTTTTCTGTATTCTGCTCCGGCCCCCTCAGTGGGCCCTTGTTGAAGCCCTCCTTGGGTCCTTTTAGGCTCTCTTCGGGCGATCTCAAGATCTCTTGGGCCGTCTTGGGCGGTCGGCAGCCAGGCACGGCGACATTTTTAAACAACAAATGGACACCGATGATGTTGTCCTCACTGGGCTCTCCTGGAAGGTCTCTTGGGGGCCTGGGCCTTGTGTACCGTCGTGAAGCTATGTTGGGCCCGTCTTCGGGCCATCGTGAGCCATCTTGGAGGCAGAGCCGGCGAACCTTCAGGCCTCTCGGAACCTCTTGGGCCGCCTTGGATACCAACTTCAATCGGCGAGGACCAGCTTGGAGCCATGTTTGACCGTCTCTCTTGGGCCGTCTTGAGTCCATCTTGGACATCCTCTGGTCCTCTTGGGCCGTCTTGGGATCCTCTTGTTGACCACCTGGGCCGTTTTGGGGCAATGTTGGAAGCCTCTTGGGCCGCCGTGGGCGGTCGGAAGCCGAAAAAGGGGAGAACGCCAAAATCCTTCCAACAACAAATGGAACATGCATGCTTTTGTCTCCGTCGGGTCCTCCTGAAGAGCCTCTTGGAGGCCTTTTCGGCCGTCCTGGGGGCCTCTTGAGCCATCGTGGGACCATCGTGGACCATCTTCGGGCAATCGTGGGCCGTCGTAGGCACCTCCGAGGACAGCTTGGCGCACAACTAAGCCGTCTTGGGCTGTCTTGAAAGCCTTCTGGGCCATCTTCGGGGCCTCTAGGCCGCCGTTGGTGCGTTTCGAGGCCGCCCTGGGCAACCCGGTCCCCCCATTTGTGGTCCTGGCATCGCTCGGACGCGTGCATTTGTTTTCGGCGAGGACTATCGAGGAGCATCCTTGATTATTTGGCGAAACAACCACGCACGAAACCGAAACAAAACACAGGAAATGGACGTCCGAGCGATGGCCAGTGGTACGGTGTGAGCATTGGATAATGGACCTGTAGATACGGAATCCAGTGTCTGGAAGCCAGTGGAACTCCAATCGTGGATCGGCCATAGATATCACCGCTGCCCTCATTGAACAAGGAATCCTCCAGGGTCTGGCGCCTCCTGGGACTATTCCTTAACAAACGCCTCCACCGTATGGGTGGCCCCCGGGCCCCCGGGCCCGGCCCCCGGGTATACGTGCACGAGGACCACGCGCGTGGTACGCGCGCGCCTGGGTTCTAGCCGCGCCCGAGGAGCTCGCATCGCGAGCCGCCGATGCCCCAGTGTCGGATGCACGGGCCATGCTAGTCAAAAGCTGCTGCTCGAGGCTCGCCCCATGCCGACAAACCATCTCGCGACCCCCGCAGAACGTATACATGGAGGCGCCCATGTGCATGTACACATTGCTCCTGTCTAATAGTTCGAAGGTTCTTTGATTGTTGGGGCCAATATCCTTTCATTTCCGATTGTTCTATCCTGGGCCTCTTCCTGGCCACTAGGGGGTCAGGAACAATGAGAAACGAGCACAACCAGAAATGAGCACGTTTAGAAAAGTGGCATTCGGTCAAACCTGCCGCCGCGCATGTGGTCGTAGGCTGGAGGCCTCCTTGATAGTATGTTTGGTGTCTCAGTGGGGGCCTGTCAGAAGTACACATGGTTCATTTGTAAATATTTGAAAGTTGTTCTTTGATCTTAGGGGAGGCCAAGATCCTTTCATTTCTAATTGTTCTATCATGGGCCTCTTCCTGGCCACTAGGGGGCCAGGAACAATTTGAAACGAGCACAACTAGAAATGAGCACGTTTAGAAATGAACGACGTGTATGTGTGAAGTGTCTGTAGAGTGGCACTTGGTCAAACCTGCCGCCGCGCATGTGATCGTAGGCTGGAGGGCTCCTTGATAATATGTTTGTGTGTTGGTGTCTCATGGGAGGCCTTTCGGAAGTATTTTGTCGGTCTTGGAGCCTCTATGGAGGCCGCTCGGTGTTTTTTTTTTTTTGGGGGGGGGGGAATTGAGGGGCCCGTCGGGCACTGCTGGGGGCCTCTTGGAAGCCTCTTGGCGCCCTGCTGGCGGTTTGGGGTGCCGTCTTCGGGGGGGGCAACTTGTGCAGGTCGTGTCGACAGTTCGTCCTGGAGGCTTCCCTGGGCGTACTTGTTCATCCCTGGTCTGGTTTTGACGGTCTTGGGGCCTGCAACCGACCCGATGAACAAATGTGCATTACCTCTCCCAGACAGTTTAGGCCTCTTGGAGTCTGTTGAGGTCCAAGTGTCAGGCGAATTTTTCCAGTGGCCTTCGCGGACCCCCAGAGGCTTCTAGAGATCGGAGACCTTCGTAAGGCTGACTTGGGCCACCGCGGGGTACTCTTGGGCCGTTCTGGGGCTTTCTTGGAGGCCTCTTGGGCTGCCTTGGGCCGACATCGAAGGCATCCTGGGCCGTAGTGTGCGGTCAGATTCCGAGAAAGGCGAGAGAGCCACAATTTTTCAAACACCAATTGGCATTATGTGTTTTGGGCCTCCTCGGGCCCTCCTGGAGGGCCTCTTGGAGGCCTTTTGGGCCGGCTTGGGGGCCTCTCGAGCCGTCTCGAAACAATTTTGGGCCGTCTCGGGGTCATCTTTGATCTTGGGCCGTCTTGGAGACAGCGTGGACTGACTTGGTGGCCTCTTGGACCCTCTTGGGGAAGCAATACCGGTTCGTTGTATCGCTTTGGGGGGGGCGATTTTGTCCGCATCGGAGGCCGTCTTAGGGCTGGTTTGGACCGTCATGGGGCCCTCTTGGGGTCCTCTTGGGCCGTGTTGGGGCGATCTCGATGGCCTCGTGTGCGCTTTGGTGCCTGCACTCGCCCGTGCCCGTCGGGAAAATTGCTTCTTCCGACGGGAACGGGGCGATTTGGGTCATTTGGGGCCGTGTTGAAGGCGGAATGTAATCATATTGAAGGCGAAGCGGAATGGAAGCGGAATGAAAACGTTTTCAGTCTTCACTTGGTGAGGGCAGAATGGAGCAGATATCGCTCTTAGTTGGGACAGGACGTTGGTGTTTATCTTTATGGGCCAGTTTGCATTAAACATCAACTCGTTATGGGGCCATGGCCACAACGCGGGTTGGATGGGACACGAGACAAGCTGAAATTCATCGGTCGCTTTTTCGCGGCAGAAGGAAAGCAGCTCCACCATGGCATATCCCATGTTTTCTTGTTGAGATGATAGTTCACCTTTCCGTCTTGCGCAGACTGTGGGCTTAGACACGAAGTGCAACATGTTGATGGGCGTGGGGCGCGCAGCTCCCTTGAGAGTACGATGCGTAACGTATCTCTCGCAGGCGAGGTGCCTTGATTATGGTATTTGTCTCATGGGAATGCGATTGTTTGGAAGATGCCGTTCATGTTTTATGTCCATTTGGGGAAGCATGTATCTCAACACGTATTACTCCTTCGCATCGCAATCGGGCGCTGATTTCTCACGCGGGCGCGTGGCCTTTTCGCAGAAGAAACGCACCTGATGGCGCAGCAATCGGTTGGGTTTTGATTCTGACGATGAGGACTTCAGCACGATCGAGACCACAAGGGCCGCGCGAAAGCCTTTGGGAGCTCAATGGGGCTGAAGGAGTGGCCTCAGCCCCCTCCTGCAGCAGTGTCGGCCCTGGGTGTGGCTTCACAGCGC